CTGCAACAGATTTAAAATTCTGATCTGAGCACCCAAAATATCTCCTAAACCACAAAGCTCAAATCAAAAAGGGTTTTGACATTCAAAATACATCTCACTTAACTTCAGACTCTTATAACTGAGATACTGTCATGTTTTTAGCCAATAGCCAGGTGACAGATGCTCTCTGTTAACCCTCACTACCCTCTCCAGCAAGGATAAAAAGGGCAATGAAAGAGACTTTAAGGTTGGAAAAAAAACTAGAATAGGTTTAATGAAATAGAAATAATACAACAAATTATATACAAATATGTAAATATGGAACCCATACTCAGTTGGTGATTATTTCCCAACCACAAATTCCCAAACTGGACTCAGTAGCAGATGGGGATACCTGAGTCCAGGGTCCTGGTGAGATTCTGTAAAAGTTTTGAAGCAGTTGCATCAGTCCTATTTGGGGAGGCAGGGGAAGGCAACCTGTCTTGACAAACAATGTTATCCTCCAGCAATAAAACAGTAATCAGGAGCAGAAGAGAAAGCAACAACACACAAACAAGTCTCAATTCAGCCAGTGCCCCAACCAGAGCCGTTTTATATCGAACACCACAGGCAGTAGCACTGTGATTGATCCATGTGGGTCACCTGACCCCTCTCTCCTCCCCTGAGGCACAGCTGCTGTCACTGACACAGACATAGCCCAGCAGCACCTGGGGGGACTCCAGGGGGTCTCAGGTCAGTGGAAATGTTTACCCTGGTCCTTCCAAACCAGGACATATTTATGTCTGATTTAGTTGTGTTTCAATCCCGTTATAATCAATGAATGTAAAGAGTTGCTCTAAAGGTGCAATTCAGCCATCCTGTTCTAGGTGTCTACTTTAGAGAAAGAGGAACGGCAATGCAGAATTAATGTGCTTAACATGGAATATTTTATCTTACGAACACTTCACTTTGCTTCCACCTGGCATTGAAGATACTAAAATTCATTGGCTTCAGTGTATTATTGTTGTTTGTCTTTTTTTATTGTCTTTATGTGGAAGTTTCCCAAAGGCCTAAAATTCTACTTTTATTCAGGTTATGTAGAGCTTCAGCCTGGAAAAGATGTCACAGCACCAAGCCTAATACAAACTTAATAATGAGGATTCCACAATGTGGTTTGTGGAGTTTTGGGGGTTGTGTATTCTGAGAAGCACATACAGTTTTAAAATCCTTGCAAAATAAAACAATCAACTTTTTAAAGAGAAGGGAAATGAGTGAGAAGTGTTTTCAGGATCATATTTTTGGGGCTTGGATTTTAAATTTTATCTGAAACCTGCTTTGGGACCTGAAGACCTTGTTAACCACAGACCTCTCCAATAATTATGTGGACAAGTGCTGAAAAACTGATACTGATTTTCCTATTAGTACAAATGAAATCACACTGAGGTTTATATGCATACTTTGCATTGCTTATTTGTCTTACTTATGAACTTGTTTTTTTTCCCTTTTGTTCAATGATACAGTGAATTCAGAGGGAAGACAATTTTTCCAAGTTACAGAGTTGAATACACTTTTTTTGGAAAAAAACCCCAAACCTCCAAGGAATTAGCAGCATCTTTCACAACAAACAATGGACATAGTTCATATATCCAGTTGTTACTCTGAGTGCTTGCAATCACAATTAGGTTATTCCTGTGGAGTCATACATAAGTGATTTTAGATTTACTCCTAGTGTATTGAGGCATAGAGTTCGAAGATAATGAGAAAAAATAATACATAAATAATTTATATCAGATATAATCTGAATCAATGAGGAAACCCTGAATCAATGAAAAGGGGAAAAAGAAAGCCCAGAAGATTAAGAAGCAAATTCCCATACAAGAAAAACAGAAGCCTAAGCTAAACTAAGATGTTAAGGTATCTATAGTTATAGGTCTGTCCATGAACACATAAATACACATACATCAATAATTACAACTATTATCCTGCATTTTGGCCTACCCTGCATTATTCCTTTTGTTCCTGAAATAGTCAGAAGATTACCCTTCTTCAGCCCATCTACCACCTGATAAGCTCCATGTAGTCATTGGTTCCTGTCTTCTAGGGAGGTTGCTTTTCACTAAAGAAGACTCAGCCTCAATGAAGCCGATTTTCAAATCCCTGACATTTGTTTATAGATAGTGAAAACAGTAACTAAACAAGAGGCAATGGGTGCAAACTGGAACATAGGAGATTCCATGTAAACACCAGAAAACACTTCTTTACTGTGAGAGTGACAGAGCCTTAGAACAGGCTGCCCAGAGAAGCTGTGGAGTCTCCTTCACTGGAGACATTCAAACCCTCCTGGACACATTCCTGTGTGATGTGCTCTGGGTGACCCTGCTCTGGCAGGGGGGTTGGACTGGATGGTCTTTCAAGGTCCCTTCCAACCCCTGAGATTCTGTGGTTCTGTGATTCTGTGCTTTGCTATTAACTTTCTACAAGCCTTATAATAGTGCACCTGACATTTGTTATGGGGGCAGTAAGTGTTCTGAAGCTGAAATTGCTTTCATGCAGTGATGTCCACCCCTGATGCTAAAAAAAACAGTGACAAGGAGGCTGGTGGTAAAAAAAAATAAAATAATAACTGACTGTTCTGTCACAGATATAAGTTTTAAGTGTACTTAAGGAGGACTATGACTATAGTGTAAAATTCTGAGGAATTTTTATTAGGGTTCAGTATAGATGACAGGAACATGATGCTGAGACTAGTCAGGCAGTACTTTCCTGGGATATTAGAATTCCTCTGGACAAAGAAAAGCAGAAAAGGCAGTCTTTAATGCTGCTGACTTTGAACCAGACACTAATTATTAAACATTTGAGACATTTTGGGCACCCAGAAAACTAGGGTAAAATACGAGCACTGTCATAAGGACACCTTATTCAGGAAAAAGGGAGTTTTATTTTGCCTTAGCTTGCACTGCTGGATAATATTTCAATGCAAGTCCTTTTTTTTAAGTAACTGCAGAGGAACAGATTATATTGAGATTTTAATTAAAAATCTAGCAAGTTGCTCTTCAGAAATACTGGATTGCAGAAGCTGGTTTTGTTAGTATGCTGACATTCCTCTAAAACAGCTTTGCTATTCCTGATTTACTCTTTGAATAAAGAAACAAATCCATATTGTGTGACCACATTCTCTCATGTCTTCTTACAACAAAGACATCAGCAAACTTCTGTCACCCAGATGTGCTTGTTGAATTTAAATTCTTATGTCCAGAAATGAACTTCTGTGTTGTGTCACTGTCCCACTGAACAGCCTCCTTGGTTATAGTTTGGATCTTCAGGTTGCAGTCTGATGTATGTATATATTCCTTGCTTTTGGAGAAGGATTCTTGGAGGGTTGTTTTATTTTCAGAATTTATTTAGGAGAGATCTACCTCCCGCCATTCCACTAATACTCTCATTGGATTTAATAAGGCTAAATAATTTTCAAAGGTGTTAGAAGCTATATTTTTAGTGACAGCTTCTGTCTCTTTGGCGCATTCCCAGTACAGCAATGTTGGCAGACTTCATGTTACAGAATCTCCTGGTCTGTCATGTATTAAAACTGTTCTCTGGGTATCCAAGCACTTAAAATACTTGTGAGTGTCAGTCTCACAAGTGGATAGATACTTCTTTGGTTTAGGTTTAGATGCCAAGAGAAGTTAAAACATGGGGAAAGGCAGAGTTCTGAAGATACTCATCCAGTCAGATACATGCTTAAAGTCATACAATGGACAAATTAAACAGCTTGCTGATTCTGATTTTGGGCAGTGGCAAATGTCTGAAAGGGATATTTAAATAAAAGTAATAAAGCCTAAGATCTATTGACAGTTTTGATAACAATGATAAATGCCGTGGTACTTAAAAAGATAGCCAGCTGAATCATCAAAAATGAAGGCTTCTCTCGTATTACATTCAGCTAATAAAATTTCAACCATTTTTTATTTAAATGCTCTGGATTATGTGATAACCTTACTTACATTGTTTAAATTGTTCTAAAGAAGAATAATAACTGCTAGCAATAAGCTAGGTACAATTAATTAAAAAAGGCACACTTAGAAAAAGGAAAGATGGTCCAGTGATAAGAATGACAGCTTGGAGCTTGGACAACCTGAGATAACATTGACAAAAACTCCTTGTGCTGCAAGACTTCATGGGGAATTGATAAAGATTCTGGTCTCTAGAGAAATGAGAGCTGTGCAAGAAACAGACTAATGGGCAGTGCAAGTCATTGTTGGTTTTGTGGCATCCTAATGATTCTAACACGAAAGGAACAGACGAGGCCTGACCTGAGACCTGCTGGGGTGGTAGGCAGCTTTGACAAAATAACTTCTCTTGTTTCTCCCTCCATGTCAAATAATCCCACTTTTCTTTGTAAACCAGCTTGCAATGGTCTCATTAAATGTTATCTAAGGCTATTATTGTAAATAATAAAATTGTATTTATTTTATTTGTAAAACAAAGGTTTATTGAAGGTGTAAAAAATCCTTGTTGTGAGCCTATACCTGCATTTAGCTGAAGGAAACACACTTTTCTGAAGCCATATATTCTGTATTTTTTCCCCATATCTTAGGATGTTCTTACAGAAGTAATGAAAATATATGGGAGCCCTCCAGTGGTGAAAATAATATATCTGGATTTCATAACACAGCTACTTTCCTGTGAATGTTGCTTGTTTGTAACATAGTTGCCAGTTTGCTGACACACATGGATGCTGATGCCATTTTGATTAACAGGACTTGATATTGTCCAGCATTTGCCTGGACTCATGTAGGAATGTGTTCCCATATGACATTTGTAAAAGCCAAGAAAGACAAATTTATCTCACAGTTACTTCCTTTTCTACACAGACTATAAAACCCTTGGGAACTCTTGGTTTGTTTGTTTTCTTCCCACTAGAAACCACATGGGTTAATCAGCAGAGAGTCACAGAATCCTAGAGTATCTTGAGTTGGAAGGGACCCATAAGGATCATCAAGTCCAACTCACTGCTCCTATCAGGAAGATAACTGTACATAACTTTATTTAACTGTAAAATATTTCACTTTGCTTTTAAAGAGTCTTAAATTCTTAATTATGACAATAAGTAGCAACAGTGAATGGAGGGTTAGGAAACTGTACAGAGCAATTAGATATGAAAGCTGTTGCACAATGTTTCTACTGAGTCTCTTACGACCCAAGGCTTTGGGTTTCAGTTTTTTGGATTCTAACAAGTCTTTTGCTTCATCTATTTCTGTTGCTAAATAAGGTGATCCACCTTTATCAGGGTGATTCAAAATCACCATTCTTCTATTGGCTGTTCCGATTTTGGCCTTGCCAGCAGATGGACTTACACCTAAAATAAGACTAGCGTCTCGCCTACTCATTTTCTGTTCAAATCCTTCTTTATAGTACGATGAAAGACTTGAAGTTGAAATCCAATTTGCTGTGTCTGTAATTGCCTGCTCCAATGGTTTCCAAAGGTGGAAAGCATAACGACCTGCAAACACAACACTTGCAACACCAAGTCCAACTCACATTTCTGATTTCTATGCTCAATTTGCCCTAAAAAGGTGGGGGTATTATTTCCATGGTAAAGCCTTTCTGTTGCACTCTGGGAAGAAAGTGAAGATCATAATCTGCTTTCCAAGGAAATGTAACTTTAATTTGCTCCACATATGCCCACACAGTCCACTGGGACATTCCTGCCCTAAATATGCTAATCTCTTAACAGTACAGATAAGTCCTTTGTATAGGGCTCTCATGCCTTTAATTCAAGTTTGTCAGACTTGTAAGCATTTTAAAGGTGAATATGCCAGCACAATTTTCAGATGCCTTCTCCTACTGAAGTTGTGATTGCATAGTTAAAGGCAGTTTCCTCACAAGTGAGGCACATAAAATAAAAATGTCTGAAAAATAACAGACTTTTCAGAGAGTCTTTCTGTAGCACTGGAAACAATAGGACACTGATGAAAACCAAAGGATTAGATACTAGTCTACCTTTAATGAGGATACCTCTTGTTAGAAACATATCTTGATAAAGCACACAGAGTTACCAGAAATATTTCTTTGAACCTTTTGATCTCTGGTGTTTCAACATTTTAAAGGTGAATATGCCAGCACAATTTTCAGATGCCTTCTCCTACTGAAGTTGTGATTGCATAGTTAAAGGCAGTTTCCTCACAAGTGAGGCACATAAAATAAAAATGTCTGAAAAATAACAGACTTTTCAGAGAGTCTTTCTGTAGCACTGGAAACAATAGGACACTGATGAAAACCAAAGGATTAGATACTAGTCTACCTTTAATGAGGATACCTCTTGTTAGAAACATATCTTGATAAAGCACAGAGTTACCAGAAATATTTCTTTGAAGCCCTTGGCATCTGAGGTGTTCATAAGCAGCCCACAGCAAAAGCTATACATCCTGAAGTCCACTGTAGTACTGTTATTTGCCATGCAGTTGTCACAGGTAGATTCAGCAAAGGCATAGAATATCTCATTTTACCAGTACAGATGTGAGTGCAGGCACACACACACCGGGTTGCATTGTGTTAGCCAGATGAATAATCCTGAGGAGGAAGTGTGTTGCTTTCTGGTTTTGTTTGTTTTCTGTTTTATTTCATCCCAAATCTAAAGAAAGGCCACTGAAGTATACAGAACAACAGAAATAATATTTTAAAAGGCTCAATCTTCTTTACTTCCTTTGCTGTTGGCTTTCAGTGTTTCTTACCATATTTATACAGCAGCTGCAGGGTCCAGGCCTCCTATTGTCATGGAAAAATAAGGGCCTCATTTAACTGGTGGTGGAGCTGTAGTGTGTGATGTGTGTTTGTTAGTCTAAGACATCTGCTCTTTGTGTCAGCTACTAAGTCCAGACACCACTGAGTGTCCCCTGTCCCCTGCCAAGCTGTGTGTGGAGGCAGCAGGTCAGAGCTATAGACAGCTGTCCAATAAAAAAGAAAAGGGGCAAAGAAAATATTTGTGTGCAGCAGGGACTAAGCAACAGGAAAAGATACTTTCAGCTATGGCTGAAAGGTTATGTGACTAGCTGCTGGTCCCTTAACAACTGGATGTATAAGGACGCCTGACTGTCAGGGAGACTCTGAACTTTGTAATCTGACAAAAACAGTGTTGAGAGGATGCTGATTTTAGTTACTGGGCTAGCGCTATGCGCAGTTCACTTATCATCAGGAGATATTAAAAATATGCAGTGGATCAAGCAGCAGCAACCTTGGGATGTGCAAGGCACTTCTTGTAACCATTGCCTACCTGGATTGGCTCTGTGGACAGATTGGGGTCACCTTCACAACCTGATTTCTCTCTCAGAGCCCAGTGGCCCCCATGCCACTGTCCTTCACCATCCTGCAAACCCCGTGGAACATTGACAGCCTGAGCCATAAGCCAGCAACATGGAGTGTCACAGTTGTGACCTACTTGTCCAATACTTTTTTTTGTTATATTTTTTTTTAGAGGGGGGATACAGGGATAGGGGAATAATAAAAGAAAATAGCCAAAACTTGTGGATGATAAGAACTTGACACATTCATTTGTCTGCAATAGTTTACAGTTGTGCATGTATGACAATAGGGAATTTTCATGCAAAGAGATTTTGTTATGCTTGTAGTTGTCAGCTAATCAAAACAGAAATCAAATGGATCAATTTTGATTAATTTTTACTTAAAATTTACAGAGAGTTTCTTGCTTTTAACAAGAAAGTAAAATTTTCTTTGCTTTGGCTGTGTTGGACTAGTTACACAACTTTAACTATCTAGAAGCTAGATTTCTCAGCTAGTTGTCTCATGAAAGTCAAAGGAGGGATTTGAGGACTAAAACATCCTCAAGTAGTATGTCTTCAGCATCTGCACTTGTATCAAAGTGACATCAATGGACAGTACACCTTTCTACTCCTTGTATGTGGAACCCAGATGACTAGGTTAGTTTGCCTAATTTTTAGATGACAGATTTAGAATCAGCATAGGATCATAGAATGTTAAGTTGGAAGAGACCTCGGGGATCATCTGGTCCAACCTTTCTAGGGTAATATTACAGTTTATATGAGATGGCTCAGCACCCTGTCAAGCTGAGACTATTCCAGTGTTTGACTGTCCTCATGGGGAAAATTTACCTTCTGTGTCCAATCAGAATCTCCCCAGAAGCAACTTGTGCCCATTACCCCTTGTGTTTTCTGTGTGACTCCTTGTAAATAGGGAGTCTCCATCTTCTTGGTAGCCACCCTGGAATTACTGGAACATGGTAATAAGGTCACCTCAAGGCTGAACAAACTCCATTTTCTCAGTTTCTCCCCATATGGCAGGTCCTCCAGTCCTCTGAGCATCCTGGTGGCCCTTCTTTAGACCCTCTCCAGGCTGTCTGCATACTTTTTGTAGAGTGGGGACCAAAACTGAATGCAATACTTCAGGTATGGTCTGACAAGCACCGAGTAGAGTGGGATGATGACTTTTTTATCTTTACTGGTGATGCCCTTGTGGATGCAGCCCAGCATCCTGTCGGCTTTCTTTGCTGCTGCAGCAGGACACTGTTCACTCATATTGAGCCTGTTTTTCACTGAGATCCCCAGGTCCCTTTCCACAGGGCTGCTCTCCAGCCAGGTGGATCCCAGTCTGAACTGGGCACCTGAGTTATGTGTTCACAGATGTAAGACCTTACACTTCTCCTCATTGAACTTCGTAAGGTTCCTGCTAGCCCACTCCTCCAGTCTGTCTAGGTCTTCCTGGAGAGTGGCTCTCCCTTTTGGAGTGTCAACCTCTCCACTCTTCTTGGTGTCATCAGCAAACTTTAGTTAATTTGTATCTGAATTTCAGGGTTATAAATTCTAAGTCTTCTCTATAATTTTTATTTTCATAATTAATCATAAGTACAACTTTGCTTGGGCATGCATTTCACCAAAATGTGATGCTTGTCTCTTTTTGCCCTCTATTGCATTTCCTTTTCAAATACTGATTTATTTTTGCCTGAAATCATTCAGTGGCTTCACAGCAGAATCCTGTAACACCTTTAGACATTTAAACATGATGAATACTTTGAAAGGATTGATTGCTTTCATTCTACAGCTGTAATTTTACTGCCTTACATCTAAGGAGCAGGATTACCAGGACCCTGTACTGTAAGAAAAAATTATCTAACAGTATTTTTATTGTTCTCCTAAGTTAACTCTTTGCATGAGTTAAGCACACTGAATGAATTTGGTCTTCACTTACTTTTTATTTCAATGGTGTGTATTGATTTTCCTTCCTCTATATATGAGCATGTCTAAGTAGAGAATGTAGTTCAATAGATTTTACAGCTCTGTAAGAAAATGTCACACAGCAACCCTAATATGCTCCAACATGATAGTAGAGTCTGTAAACAGCCTTCTCCAATGGATAAATCCCAACATTAAGATAAGATATTTCTCACTGAACTCACGGAAAATGTATTTCCTTAAGATCCTGGAAATAATAGAATTGACATAATCATAATGTGTTTTCACAATGTAATGGGAAGAGCAGAAAATGAAAATGTATTAACATTGACTACAGTTCTAAAATCTAAAATTAAGAAAAAAATATGGGATAAGGAAAGTTTACTCTGTCCTTTATTCAAATTTTTTCAGAATCTGCTGAGATCAGCAAGACCCCTGGGCCCCACCTATTTTCTTGCTTTCATTTTCAGGAAAGAGAGAAACCAATAACTTATCTTTCTTTCTGTTCTGTCTTTCAGTGACAAATTTAGAACCTTAAAAAAAGTTCCAAATGTATGACTACTCTCTGATTTGAATGATGTTTGTCTCAGACCAGAAATCAGTTTTAACTCAGAATGGCATAATGTCTCATTAGCTTTACCGTGTTTCACTGCAATAGACTACCTTGTATTTTTCATTTTAAAGCAAAAGTAAATCCATATGCATTCCAATATAAGATACTTGGATGTTCAATATAATTGCTCAATTTGCTAACAAGACATTTTAAAGAACTGTGATGACAAGTTTAAATGCAGGTAATCCAAGGGCTTTAAGTAATCTTACTTCATTTTTGCTCTCTAGAATACAGCTAATCTCCATCCTCTAGTTCTGAGAAGCAGTTTTTACTTCTTGAAAATGAGTTCAATTTCATTGAAATTTCTGTGGGGTAATTTTTTTTTTTACTCACCGTAAGAGCTGAAAAGAAATAAAAAGTCCATACCCATAGTCCATAGTCCATAGTCCATTATAAAGTGGTTTATTGTGCAACGTAGCATAGCTGTAATTTCACATGGGCTAGTAAGCTTATTTGCATAATACAAATTTCAGCCTGATTTTATAATTAATTGGCTGTGTGAGTGCATTGACCCACAATTGGCTATAATATTAAAGTCCAGAAAAAGTGGTGACAAAATACATTTCCTTGTAGCAACTCAGTGGAATTGTGAATATGATAGCCAAGAACGTGTCTTCATGAAAGCATTTGGGAAAACCCTCGCTAATGAAAATTATTCTTTAAGGACATTTTTTTTTTTTCTGATACTTTATTATTTTCTTTCTATTTTTTCCCTTCTATTTTCTATTAGGTTTTTTACATAGCAAAATAAACAGGGCAAGTACATAAATATTTGAGGGTGATGAGGCACTGGTGCCAATAAAGTTGTATTTCATACATATCCATATTAATCGGATATACCAAAAGGCAGGCAGTTCTTCTTCACTACATATGACTGAATGAATGTATGTTTTGGACATACATTTCTACAGTATGACAGAAAACAAGACACAGTTATCGCAGCCTATATGAAACAGGCCTTTAACTCTCTGACAACAGTTCCTGACATTTATAGTACAGCTCCTGAGGGCCTTAATGACCATAATGTCACACTGAATCTACTATTAATATACCTCACTAGTAAGGAGTAAGTATTATGGTTTTTATCCTGGGTGTGAAAGGTCCATATTTCATAAAGATCTTGAGTCTAGCTGAGTTATTAAAAGGCTTCCCATAAGGAAAGAAATAGTCACTATTTTTTTTTTTTTTAATTCCTTTTTTTTCCCCTTTTCCTCAAGAGTTTCTGCCTGCAGATTTTCTTATGAGAAAGAAAAAAGTGACCTGTATTTAAAATAAAATACAGAATCAGATACTTGTAGCACAGACTGTTGTTTTAAAATATTGTATAGATGGCAGAGATTAGATCTGAGGATCATTTTCGTGTGGAAAGTTCAATATATTTAGCAGAATTTCTATGCTTTCATGGTGATACTATGCAAAAATTTTGTTTATTATTGTTCAAGGCCCACTTCTAAAGAGATAAAGGCATAGAACACCACTTACACAACTGGAAAGATCTGAAGAGAAAGGTTTCCAGAAGAGGCAGTGCATTGTTGGACATTCAGTTTGATGGATCCAGAACTCTGACATTTCAGAGTCATGGAATAGTTTTGGTTAGAAGTGCTCCCTGCACCTCATCTGTTCCACTCCTCTGTTCAGAGCAGGGTCAACCAGCTTGCTCAGGACCTTGTCCTTTCAAACTTTGGAAATATCTTTTCAAGAAGCTAGATCATCAGGCAGTGAGCACTAAGCCTCCTTGAAACTCAGCCTTGATCCAGATCTTCTGACCAGCCAGATACATTCCAAATTATTAACTCCTTTTATAGATCTTGTCTAGGATGGTTTTATCCTATGCATATACACAGGATAGGATTAATAAAACCTAATATATTTCCAGGTACCTTTTACTATCTCCGTAATCAATGAATTGAAATTCAGCATTTCTTAGGCATGATTCAGCTAAGTGTATAGTAGATTTCTAATACAGACCAGATGAATAGTGCCCCAGGGTGTCTTTTGCTGCTGAATCCATTGCCAATAAAGGGATCTCGAGGAGATTAGGATAGATACAGACATGTACATTGTACACATCTGAAACTAGGTGAGATAAATCCTATCTATGGACTTTTCTTGAAGTGGTAACAAAATAATTACTTACCAAATTCGGGCTTAATGGGTTATGATAGATGGGTTGTTACAGATTACAGGTGAACTCAATGTCCTTCAAAAGGGTACTGTAGTTTTTTTCTGAATTTACATTGTATCAGTAAAATTTTTTTTTTTTTTTTTCATTTCCATGTATAATTTTTCAAGAGATAAGTGCTTCTATTAGCTTATTTTTTTCTATATGGAATGACTGAAGAGACATCTAGCATGTGACTGGAATTAGTTTCACAATATCGAGTATTTAATGTCAGTAATTCACAGTCTGTTGATAGAATGAATTTAAACAAATGAATATGCCTTTGTATCTTTTTGTGTTTTTGTTGCAGACTGCATAAATGAGAACTGCAATAGATGCAAGAAGAGTCTTTTGAGCGGTGCATGCTAGAGAGGAAATATAAGTCTTTTATGTACAAAATAATGAATGTGTTAGTGTTTTAAAAGCAGGAGAAAAGCTGGTATTGGTAAATCAATCTGTATCTTTTTTCCCCCATGACAAAAACAGAGGTTTAGGTAAGTTAAAATCTGAGTGAAGAATGATGTACGTGCTCTCTCCGGATGAAAAAAAAAAACCTGGAATTTTAGCTAAACTAGAACAATGGAGTCAAAGATTTTGTGTGTGGCTTTTGAGAATAAATGCAATATAGGAGATTATAAGAAACTCATTGAAAGGAAATAGGGAACCTGAGAGGACTGTTTAGGTCAGAGGAACCAGTGATCATGAAATTCCTAATGCAAAGTGCCAGCTGGTACCATATGACATAGCCTGTGTAGTGTCTCCATGGAACTACAGGGAGAAGTGGTATTGTTTGCATCATCATGGGGCTACTGCAGTCCCTGAGAAACTCTTCTTTGTTCCTGAAGAACATGAATCCCTCCATAACAGACTGCACCATTGCTGTTTTGCCATGTATTCCAGGCCACAGACTGAGATCTGTGAAGTCTACTGGGCAGGAGTTAATGTTTATCTGAAAAACACTATGAATTACATGAGGCTTTTAACATTATGCTATTATTGCTATGTGATTGTCACTGAGGTTACCATGGTGTCATTTACCTAGGAGGAAGAATAATGTATTTACAGTGCATTTTTAGCTGTATAAATTGCCTTTTCTTCCAAGCTCAGATTTTATAAAAGTTAAGGACCTACTTTTCCTATATAATGCATTTGGAGTTGTGGAAAATCTTCCTGATTTGAACTGATTGCTGCTCAATAATTACTTCCAGTGGTCTGGTAAACTACCAGAAGCATACTCAACCACATCTTTAGTTCAAATTAAGTTGAGGTATGCTCATTTGGTGTTTCATTTTTTTTTTATGTGCTTGCTGTCCTGTGCTACTCTTCTGATACACAGAAGAACTCATACCAACCTCAGAAACAGAACCTAATTTTAAGTGTTTTTTGTTGTTGCTATTTGACAGGTCATGTACTACAACATGTCAAAAACTGATTTGTTCTGTTGGTACAGGAAGAATAGAAGCAAGTAGTGAATCTCTCAGGATCTTGACATCTCTATTTCCCTCATAGTTAAGGGCAACAATTGATGACAGTTTTGTAAGCTTGTCACATAATGTCATTGGAGACTCCACATGGCTATTTGGCAATAAATTTTCACTTCCATTTGTTAGAAGGTACCAACCAACAGAAGCCTGAAAAGAGATGATTTCCTTATGTAAGTTTTCCTTGAAAAATATGTAACTGGAATCAGTCTTGTTTGTTCCTTTATTTTTTAAATATCATAATACATTTTTAAACTGTTGACTAGCAATATAGAAATGATTTTTTTAAAAACTGGAATCTGGACATAAAGGTGCAACTATTCTGTGAACTGAGAATTCCTGTTTCAGTGCTTTTAAAGCTTCACAGACAGAGCTGAAAATATTTCATTTTAACTTCCACACACTCTCATGCTGTGATGTTTTCCTTGTTCCTTATGGGCAGGTCAGTCTACATATTTCCCACAGAATTCCAACAGAGGACCTTTGACACATTCATGAAGTTACAAAAACATTTGGATGAGCCAGTCTACAAAAATGGATAAACATACAAAAACCTTACTGAGTAAAATAATATGAAAAAGCCACCAAAGGAAAGCTGATTACCTTTGTAAGACTGTCTTTTCAATTTCGCCATTGTAGGCCTGTCTACAGTGTCCTGATGCTCACAAATGGCATCTTTGAATAGCCTTTTCAAAAGTAAAAGTTGGTATGCTAATGTATTACACATGAGAGCCAATAATAATATGTGGGATACTGGTGCATGCTTCTTCAAGGTGATTGGGTGGCTTAGTAACAACACATTGAGAGACCAAGGCTCAACAGCAAGATAAAGAAACATCTTTCATGTCTGCAAGAGTATAAGTGAAACAACTGTGCCACATGATTCAGCTAAAAAAATTTCAAGAACCAAGTGTACTATTTGAATGTACCTTAGACATACAGTCTTGACAGTGACAAGAATAAATGATAACAAGAGAAGGTTAAGATCTGCAATAGCAGGATGCAGAAAACTTTTAAAATTAAGATTTAAACCCAAATTAGTATCTTAGCTAACATGATAACAGTAGGATATTGCTATGCGTGCTTTGTGGAGCTAGTATCCCTGCAAGATACTAAAAGATGTTTCAGATATTTTTTTATATTTTATATAGATATAATATATATATAAGATAATTCTGCACTCTATCCACATGTATCATACTATTGTCCTGTGTAAAGCTGTGGAGAACTCTGTTCTCTTAACTCACTTAATGCTGCCTCAGTCAGCAGCAAGTATGATCCATTAACCTGAACTGAGTTACAACAACCCAATTTTTAAACTTTGGGGAAAAAAAAAAGGTAATTTTTGCTGTGAATAATAACCTTCTTGTTATTTCTAATTTGGCTTCAGTAGATCATATTTTGTTACGAGTCCTTGCTTTGTATTCCCCCTTTCTCTTTAGGTGAAAATATGTTCTTCCATTATGGCTAGCAGTTTTAGATTTAGACACCCCAAATCTTTTGCTTCAAAATCTAGAAATCTTGAAAACTCTAACTTTAGAAAGGAGGAAAGTAATGTTTCTAAGATATTTATTTCAGTTTCTGCATTTTTTTCTTCTTTTATTTCCTCAGTTTGTAAGTTCATCTCTTCTTCTAAGCACAGGAAAGAATGAGAGCTGTTGGAGGTTTTTTTTTTTTTCTTTTCCATTTAATCAGGAAAGTTATAAACTTCAGTCAGAGAGCAATCTGGCTTTTAGAAGGGGAAATGTAACCTCTTCCTGCTTTGTAGAAAAAAAAAAAAAGATGTATGTCTTTGCATAGCTTTTTGTATCTATTACTAAAGTCATGGTTTCTTGAAGCTGTGCAGATAGGATGGTGTTTGCTCTTATTCCAGCAGGTTTACTTTTAGTTGTGAGCTTCCATTTCTTGTGATACCTGACACTCTAGTTAGTGGCTTGATATGCAGGACCCTATACCATGATTTGCTCTTAATCTTTGCCTGATTTGTGTAATATGAGAAATATGATGGAATAAGATTACCAGAAGATGTTGCTGTCACAGCAGTTTCAACCAGTATGATTTATCGTAACAACATTGATTAGATAATCAGAGTCTTGAAAAGAATAAGTGTATGTCAGTAAGAAATTGCTGGAGACAAATTTATGTTGGAATATTATCATTACTTTATTGCGCTTGGATTGATTAAGATTTTTTTTTTTTAAATTCTGCAGATATAACTAATTTAAATATGATATTTGATATTACGTTATTTCAAGTTCCTGATGTCATTGACAGATGATCAGTGGTATAAAGGAGGAAGATTTTCATTTTTCAGTATTTTTCTGTCAATAGATTTATTTTATTAAATCTATCTACTGCTTTACCTGCCTGACAGGATATCTTTCAATGTACAGTTTTGGTCCTTTGTGTAACCAGAATGGGTACTGTTACCTCATTTACTGTTCAGAAAATGAAGCTCCTGTCTATTTGCTACAGACAGTCAAGTGAGAACTGCACTAAGAGTGAGTGTTCCTAGGAATGTCTTAAAAAAAGAAAAAAAAAAAAGGTGTTGGAGACACTACCAGGAAGCAAAAGGAAACCTGACACCAAAATAGCAAGTGGAACATTCCCTTGGGTAGGCATAAAACTGAGGTTGGTACTCTAATGTCAGTCTCATGTATAAGGCATTCAGCAGAATACTTAGTTTGAAGCAGAGGGACAGATTATCTCACAAATGCCTAGGTTTTGGGAAACTTTTCACTACTTTGAGGCTAAGGTTCTTCCAGCTGAGCTGAGCAGCACCTAAAATGCAGATCTTCCAGCTTCTTGGCCAGCTGTTTTAACCAGTAGTCTATAGGAAATACGTGTACTGTACTCCATTAGAAATGGACAGATTAAATCCAGAGCTGAAAAAACTCTCCATTTTCTCCATTTAGGAACCTATGATTAGATTCCTAAATTTTCAGAGGAAGTGGTAAATACCAAGGTCTTCCTGAATAGCATGGATTGATTTCTGGAGATAGTTCAGAATTACTTCAAAAGTATCAGAAAATCTAGTTTACGATGTTGAGTATCTACTTTAAGTTGATTAAAGTCTTTTTAGGAAATGTTGTGTATTTTTGTACATTGGACTAACTCTGTTTTTCAAAGGAAGATGATCAGGACACGCATTACAGAATTTTAGATACCTGATTTATAAGTCAGTGACCAAGGGTTAGACTCATATTTTGCAGGCCCGTGAAAGTCTTAAAGTCTTTCTGATTAGAGGCAGCACTGAGGGGCCCTCACCTCTTTGCTCGGTATCTGAATGGCATGAAGAGTGGTGTGGCAATGAGAATCTCTGCTTGGTTATCAAGTGAGGCAGACATTCTCCTGTTGAGAAATCCTTGCTGTGCTTATGCATTTTACAGTAAGTAGAATAAAATACACAAACACCCTGCAAGATTCTGTTTAGCTGAAATGTAAGAACTCATCTGTTTAGTTGCAATTTACTCTTTAGGAGTTATTTGTTGCTATTTTACATCACAGGTGACCTCTGATATGAAAGAGTCTTGCAGTTTTCCTTTTCAAATCTCTCCTATGCAGAATAAATAGATTATTCTCAATGCAAAAGATTTTTAATTAATTGTAACTTAACTTTATAATTAGTTTGTCCTCATTGTTTAGTATATGACTTCTTCATTCTGCTTTTCTAATAAATTACACCTTATAGGAGAGGAAACCTGGGCCTTGTTGGGTCAGGCACAGAAGAATGCCAGCTGTTGTTGTTGTTATTTTTAAAAAAAAATCTGTGCAATTTTATGAATCATGATGTTTTGTTGTGCCACCTGGATATACAGAGGAAGTTTGATCTACAAAATACGGAGAAACTCTTAAGCAAAAAGCTGCTAAAATTAAAGGAACTATTGAAGCAGTATCTGAAATAGTCACTAGTTTCTTAAAATGGTTTAAAGGGCTGGTTTCCATCACAAGTACAATTTTCTATTTTTGTTATGCTTGTTTTTTGTGAAATGTTTTGTGTTATTTTTTCCTCATCCATCTCCAATTTTAGCCAGAACATAAAGAAGCAATTGTAAGGCTAAAATAGACAGCTAATATTTCCCTGGCCACTGAATATATATATGTATTCTGATTTATTATTATGACATTTAAGCATACAAACATTCATCTATGCATCTATACATATAAATACCAGAGCCTAAAGAAAAAGGTAGCATTTTAAAATGTAACTTTTAATTATATTTAAAATGAAACATTTTGCTTTCTTTCTGTAGCTCATATAACAGGACATCTGATGGATTTTAAAACTATTTATAGTAGTATAAAAGTATTTATAGTAGTATTTTTTTATTTTTGCTTGAAAAATTTGGCTTTCTTTTCTATTATTCTACCCTAGGGTTTGATTTTAATCATAAACTATATATCTATGACATACTATGACACAAGGAAATTGCTAAAAACTGTTGAAAATATTTTGATAATAAATAAAATTGACCAGAGACTTCCTGAGAAATGCATATTCAAATTATTCTTTTGTAAGAGACATTATCTTACAACTAGTTTTCCTATACTATGCATATTGATTAGAGAGCTATTTTGTTTCTCCCTGATTAGTATTTCACTAATCTGCTGAAGCAGGGAATGAATAATAAGAATCTAAAAAAATTATGGAAATTCGGCTTAAATAGACTATGCCAATTGACAGAAATTGTCCTTTGCAATGTAGTGAATACCTCATTAGTAACTCTTCAGAAGATTATGGATCACTTAATCCTTGCTTTGCTCATGTTTGGCTGCTGAGCCTTTTAACAGGCCAGAGACTCAATCACTAATTTTTCCTTATCCCTTGTCATCTGGCAAGCCCTGCCCTTCTTCATAGTAAACCCAGGAAAGCTTTTCAGGTAGATTTTCTGTCAGTGTATATTTAAGAATAACAGGTTTTGGTTTTGTGTTTGTTTGTTTGGGTTTTTTTGTTTGGTTGGTTTTTTGTTTGGTTTGGTTTTGTTTTGTTTTGGTTTGGTTTGGTTTTGTTGTTTGGGGTTTTTTTTGGTCTTTCTAATAATTGACAAAAAAGCTTTGTCACTTTCTCTGTTGTTATCTTCAAGTGTCAGAGGCAGCTTTGAATGGTCATTCTCCTGGGATTTATTGAAGTGAGTACATCTATCTACTTACCCTTTTCTGTGTCTTCTTTGATGGGCTTATCTTCTTGTCTTCATTTTCCCTTATAATTCTTTACTTGTCTAGAGTATGTGTCTTGATATTTCCTTGTAAGACTCCTCCCATGAGGACACAAAAAATGTTACACAACAAGTTTTCCATTCACTAGGAGGCCTCTAGTACAACTGAAGTAAAATATTAATCCCATGACCCTCCATGAAATTCAGAGAGCTTTTGCCAATACATAGTTTATAAATACACAATATAAACCTGGCATATATGTGTAACAATATTGCCTGTTCATCAGAAAGTAAGAGAAGAACAAAGAATACTAGAGTATTTGTGGAATCTGAAGCAAAGCAGCCTCACTCTCAGTGAAGGAGGATCAGGTTATGGAACTTTAAACAAGCTAGACATATGTGAGTCCATGGGACCTTATGGGATGAGTGCTGAAGGAGATGGCTGATGCCATTGTGAGACCACTCTTGTTTTATGTTT